AAAAAAAGAGAAAGCATCTAGATAGTTAACCGGATTTTTGAATTTCGAAAATCAAGTTGAGTAACATTTTTACACTTGAGATTGAAAAACGAGCAAAGATAAAAAGGGCCAGTAATAATTTTGATAAGTGAGAAACTTATATATGAGCGACTCAAACCATTCTAGTGTCTGCTAATGGAATTTACTTTCTCACAATTGTCAGCTCGTGGATTTACATATATACGAGATTAACAAACGTACATAAGAAAAAAAACATGTATCTTATTGTTAAAAAATCGCTAATATCAATATGATAGATTATTTATCCGTATTAATATTAATTTGAATTGATTTACTTGTTTACTGCAGTGTATAATTACGTAGTTTTTTCTTAAACTTGTATGTGCACGTACAATCAATTCATCGAGTAAGACGGTGCTCGAGGCATTTGAACCGTGATTGTGGTAAATGGCGATTCGCATTCGAGGTACGTCCGGCTTAAGGTACATACCCAGAGTCCGTGCAACGAGTGCATCACTCGTCTCAGCGTCGAAAAAGCGGGAAAAGTTGTAGAAAAATTCGGTTGCCTCCGCGTGTTTCGTCGGCTTCGGAGCTGCCCCGAGGCATACGAAAAAAGGCCGCGGAGACGCGGCGTCGAATACTAATTCTACGGACCGTTTTACGCGGACCAGCAAAGAGACAAAAGACGTGACGACGATGGCGCAGGGAGAACGACGCGACGCGAGTTAAGAACGCGAAGGCGAATGAACGGTGGCATGTCGAAGACAAGAGAGAGAGAGAGAGAGACTGTGGGGATCGCGACGATGCGAATTTGCATGAAAATACGTGAACTCGGTGGCGATGATTTCTCCGAGCATTTCCGAGCGCGCTACCGAAATTCCGGCGTCGGTTTGCCGCAGTAGTCGAGCGATGCCGACGCGACAAAAGCGTCGCGGCGCACTGCGCTCCCTCGGACGCACACACGTGTACGCAATATGTATAATAAACGCGGCAGTGCATTTTTTAATGAGTATGCTCCCGCGAGTCCGTACGGCGAATTTATTATGCGCGCACTCCCAAGCGGGCGCGTGTGCGTGACCGGTTTACCCCTTTGACATAACGCTAATGGCGCTACCAGTAACGCGACTACGTCTTTCTCGTTCTGTCTCGACAAATTTTCACACAGGTGCAACATATATAATGCTATATTACTGATTATATAACCGCGATTAGACAAATTGAAATGCTGGCTGCAATAATAATGTCAGTTGACAATTGACAGCTGATCAGCTGATCAGATTTATTGATATTGCGCCAGGCGGAATTTATAAAAACATCCCTTTCTATTTAACTTATTTTGAGAAATTGTATCTTTCGTGATGGAAGATATATATATTTTGTAAGAATTTTGAATATAAGAATGCATTTAGGGCAATAATAATAATAATTCATATTTAGTATCCTGAAAATTAATCCTGTAAATATAATAATATAAATCTGCGCATAAAAAATATATTTTTTTTCTGTTAAAACTATAAGTATCTTTTAAAATTTTTGACGTTTTTGTCAAAGCGATATTTTGCGGCTTAAACTTATTTTTATCCAGTTTCTCAGTTAGGACTTGGCTTAAAACTTGTTCATGAGGTGAATGAGAATAGCGGGATTCAGGAGACGAAGGTGAATCTTGCATCTGTATATAGTCATGTCTGATAAGCACTTTATGGGAGTGTATGTGTTAAACGAGAAACGTGGGAATTCACGTTTTGCTTATATTTTGTGTGCCGCTCACGTTATCTGTCTGTTACAGCGCTTTGAAGCTGCATTATCCCTGTCGAAAATAAAAAGAATCGGACTTTTAGAAAGGAGAAAAATATAAATTTTCATCCATATTCATAATTTACATAACATTTGTAGATTAGACATCTAATTAAAAATATCTATAATATAACATTGTAAAAAATTCTATAAAAGAATTGTAATAATTTTTTGTTGATATTTTTTTTTATTTTGAAATAATCTTTATATATGCATATATTCTAGTAAAGAAAATGTTGAAATTTATCATTCCAATTTTCCAAATTTATATCCTGAGATTAAACCAAAAATAAATCATATATAAAGGTGTCGAATTAATGGGGATTGAATTGAATGAAGAATTAACATTGGAATAAAATATTTGCAGCAATGTTTATATATTGAATGCAATAATCAATACTGGATAAGATATATTCATTCTAAATATCGAAAATTCATCAATAATTGACGTGAGCGATGCTGTTTAATTGTGAAAACTGTTTTCAGAATTATTCGTAGATTTACGCTTTCTCGTCACTGCTCTTTATTGGCACTTCGTATCGTCTTAATAATAAGAGCGCAATAAAAGCCACGCGATGTGGATTGAAGGGAGGATGAACGTGACGCACGCGAAACCGGTAAAAAGGATCAGACGGGATTTCCACTTGGCGTCGGAGGGGATGCGACTCGGCTCGAATGGCCGATATTATACCCCGGAGCGGTAATTCGTATCGAGTTTTCCGTGCTGCCCGGGAACTCGATCGGAAACGCGATCAGGATGGCGAAAGTAATCTTTGGCCGCGTCAAACACGATTCTATGGTAAACAATCTGAGAGCTACTATATTTGTGACAAGTTCTCTAAGAATAAATTTTTTTCTGAATTTTATTTTTGCACTTCTCGAGTTCTATTCTGGTAATTTTTTTAAAAAAGATTGCCATTTAATTATCATTACAGTTTATTAATCAATAAGTCGTTTATATGTATAAATAGCTATTCATTGACATTTGAAAATTCATATCCGACCATTTTACTCCTATGTTACATCTAACTCATAAATTATTATTGATCTGATAACAGTTTGAGAAGTTTTCTATCCTACAGATTTTATTTATAGAACGCCAAGTCCGTGAAGTGAAGTTCCTTTTTAAACCATTATCAAATCAATAATTTATTATAACCGAATTAGATATTATAATCGAATTACTTGTAGTTAGATTCTTAAATGTGCTACTACATATAAGTAATTTATTCATTTATAAATTGTGATAATTATAAAGAACAATTAGAGTATTTTTAAAACATAAACTGGTTTTATAGTCTAAATATACTTTTTATACAAAAGTTCCAAATGTTAAATAAATTGAAAACCAATGCACAAAGAAAGCATCACGTGTCAGAATCACACAGATTCATCTGACGAGTAGTAAAATAGATCCGATTGTTTCGTATATACGTTTCACACATATCTCTCTTTCTTCTCTCCCTCGAAATTCTAAATAAATACTATTCCGTATTATTCAAAATACACAAAATGAAAGAGAGAAGAAAAATAGAGCGACCTTGTTATAAAAGAGTCACGATTTACTCCAATATTTCGTCACGATAATTCGTGCGGCAAAGGCCGCGAATTTCGGGCTAGATAAATGAAAAAATGAACGAAAAATGAGCCGGCATAAAATATCTGAGGATTTCTAACAATAAGTGTGTCTGCGCTCTTGCAAAGTATTATCTCCGCTGTTGGAAAGGCAAAAGCGCATAGAAGGCGGACGACAGTCGGCGCTTGCGAGTGCAAGCGGGGGCATTCCCCGACCGACAAATGGCAATTTAACACCGTCTCGGTCGATATTCGAGCGACCCTTTGACCGTCGACGCTAATGCACGGCCTGCCCTTTATTTCCTGCTGTCACACCGGCGCGGGCGATACGCGACCCCTCTCTCTCTCGCCCCCATATCTCGTCGCGTTCGCTCGCTGAAGCACACTTTCGAAGCACCCTTTCGACCGCCCACGCGAGACGTACACACGAAAGGGAGGAACCACCGGTTCTCTCCCTCCGTCCGAAGGATTTAATTACGAATTAATTGTGATGTACCGCCGCCGCGGCTAATTTCGCCCGGTAATTCCGCCGGTAATTCGAGGAACGCCCTGGCCAAGTCACTCTTGTTCGCTCTTTTTCCTTCCCTTCTAGCGTGACTCTCTCTTCCGTGACGCGAAATCCCGCTACGAGCGAAAAATTCGCGAAACTTATTTCGTGCTCCGAAGCACGCGCGTTTCCTCGATCTCGATACGATCGGATTTAAGAAGCATCTATATACGACGGCGAGTTTCATTTTCGAATTACAACCAGAGCGCGAACTTATTCGCGTTATAAGTACTTGTGGTATAAAATACTGCAACTCTGTTGCTGATAAGAGCAAAGTAGAAGTGGATTATTCTATAGAGTGGCGACCTATGAATTATTATCGAATTACAAAACGGTAAACTGGCAAGAGATTTTAGATAGCTCGTGACGTACGTAATAAAAATATAGACTGAAAGATTGGGAAGCTTCTTATCACTGTGATTTCATACAATTATAGTAAGAATAATTCATGCAGGCAGTTAATTCGTGTGCTATTATTCATAAATATTCATGATTTTGCATGCAACGTTGACTTTAAATAAACTGTAATATCTATGAAGGTGCGCAACATCGAGATTAAAATCTCGCTAATCTGATCGAATCTGATTGCTATCTGCATACGCCGTGTTAATAGGATTTTTCATTAATCATTTTAATTAATTACACAATTAGATATGGATGGGTTATCATAGTGATTTGCATTTGTATATTACAACATACTACATTTTCTCCTATATATATATGTTTATTGCTGATGTATGCACGGGAATAAAATCGTCATTCGTGTAGTGCTTGATTTTTTCCGCGATGCCAAGTCGACGATAAGACAAGGAAATCTCACTTTTATGTCGAAAACAGAAAACGAGAATTTTGTCAAGATGAGTATCTATCTTCCTGCTTTTAATTGCCGTGGAAGACATTTGTCTTCCTTGCGAGACAGTTTCGTTACGAGGCAACGACCGAGGAGGCGCATCTAATCGTTGCGAATCATCCGGCGAGATAATTCGATCGCGTGGCAACCGATTAATTCGCGATAACGAGGTGTAACAGTAAAATACACATATATACACTGCCGGTTCTACATCTCGTTATCTCGGATTCTCACCTGACATTCGATGCTGATTAGATTAAACAACGTTGGCGGCCGGATCCTTGATGCTCGAGCTTGATATTTTCCTTTCTAGAAGAACTTTCTGTCCACTGATAACGTATCGATGTAGTCTTTCGTTATTATTACACAACGATTACTTTGTTCACTATTCAGTTCACTAATGTCATGCGTCGAGCGATTGCACGGATGACCTGCTTTATCGTTTTCTCCTTCTCTCTCTCTCTCTCTCTATCTTCTTTCGATTTCTCGATCCTGCACAATGTCGTCGATATCACGGTCCGAGTGACACCGATGCGATTTTCCTCTCAACTGAGTCCGAGCCCCGGGCTGTCACCTTCGATTCGTTTTAGTCGCTTCTCCGCGGCAAATCGCGCTCCTGGCGCCTTCGCATCATTTGCCACCGCTTCAAATCGTCATATAACTCGACGAGCAGCTGCCCACGCGACCAGATTTATCTCCGTTCGAAGTCCGGAGCGCGATAAAAAAAGTCAAGAATGTCGGAGCAGTCGGTTTATCTTCTCCTCGTGCAGTGTATCTCGAGGATGAAAGTTATATATTCGCGCCGATTATCTTACGAGCTTTATCTCGCGGTCGCAGATGACGATGACGCGCGATGATTTGAAGGAATCTCCGTGGTTAGGTTTGCGCGAGGTCTTTTCGCGCGCGAACACACGCCTTCGTCTTCCCACGTGGCTACGCGGTTATGATGACAGTTTCGTGGATGCGTGACAAATGTACGCGGCGCACGGCGACCCTCGGCTTTTATCGGCGCGTCAGCTGCGCGCGTCCGCGTGTGCCGCGGCTCATCTCTCCCGTTTGACGTCGCGTCTCCTCGCCGCGAATTTTTCACCGATTCGGCGCGTTCGATCGCGAGCGCGTGCGTGCTATCACTCATGATCGTGCGACAATGCGACGCGATCTGACGGAAGGGTCCATCGCGAATTTATATGCCGTCCGCGATTAAGTCCTCGTAGTCTGGCGTTCTCGGTGCCAATGAACCGGCGCGATTATGTAAAGTTATGACTTGCCGATTCGCAGATACGAGTGAATGCAAATATTGTTTCTAGAACCACGTTGTAGAATATTTTTTGGAAAGCGAGTTGAGAATGTTGAGAATAACGAGAGAGAGAGAGAGAGAGAGAGAGAGAGAGATGAAAAGTCTACGAGCTTTTTAAAACCATAATTATGATAATTGTTAGTAATTATAAATAATCTAGTTGTATAATGATAGGGGAATTTAATATAAAGATTTAATAAGAGGAAACAATCTTGCATCTAAAGCTATAGTGATGCAAGCGGACTCTTGTCTTGCCTTGAAGAATCGATTGACCAGACGTCCTCGCAAAAACGAAAGCCTATCGTAATTAAGTTATTAATAACTTTCGAGCGCAGCTGTTATTCGCGTCGTATAATCGAGAATGGGTTTACGAGGCACGGAATAAAACAGAAAATCCCAAACCGAAGACTTTGAAGACTTAAACTCGAAAATAAGTCGAGATCACTAAAAATTCTCATCTCGCAGCAAGATCGTTTCATTAAGTAAATTAGACAATTCAGTGAGCTAAAAAAGAAATGGTGGATTAAGTCGAATTTATAGCTTTGACAATTATTTCGCGATCGCATCCGAATTTAATTACATATTTTAATTAAAAATAATTTTTATTAACATATTTTAATTAAAGATAATTTTAATTTTAATTACAACAATTTTAATTGTATATATAATTTTAGCCATAATTTTAATTACAGAACGCAATCAAGTAACAGCTTATTATCGTTTTATATGTACACACTATACGTAATGTCGCCATCGTGCCAACGTAATATCAAATATTTTTATATGTGTCTCACACTGCGATGTACACAGACCATTACAAAATTGGACGATCGTCGACATTTAAAATCCATATAATAATATTTGACGTTACTTTACGTTGACGTGACGGTGATGTTACATATGTATAATATGTAACACGCTTTATCGGTTGGATACCTCAACGACGAGGATCTATATCATTTGATGGAATAAGAAGGGTCAGGCCCTACATTACTCCGATCGATGTAATGGCCCTCGTAATTCTCTGCGATACCATTGAGATCGCAATGGCCAAATAACGCCTCTGAGAATCAATACTACGCGAGATATGATGTTCATAACGGAACGGAACATTTAATCTTATTCTCGTAATATCAACGAATAGTTGGCTAAAACGACAGTTGATTGACAGATGATAAAACTCGAAAAGAATTATTAATTGGTTGATTTATTTAAGACGAATTATTAATTAGTTGTGCCTTTTCTTTTGCAAAAACCTGCAGTTATAATACATAATAGATTAATCTGTCGAGTCAAAATTGTATGACTTTTTAAGTTGAAATAAAATTATAAGAAATTCTTTTCACGAAAGAATCCAGTTTACTTTTGAAATTCAAGACAATAATAACATTAATTTTCTCGACCTAACATTGATATTAAAAAAGAATAGCATTATATATGATTGGTACCATAAAAAAATGTTTTCTGGTAGATATCTGAACTTCCTGTCTCAACATCCTATGAGTCAAAAACGAGGTACGATAATGGGGCTAGTTGATAGAGCCTTTTTATTATCAAATCCAGAGTTTCATAAAGAAAATTTAGAGTTAGTAATCAAAATATTACTTGAAAATAATTATCCTCTGAAATTGATTTTTGACACAATGAACCAAAGACTAAAACATTTAAAAACGAAATATTCTTACAAACAAGAATGACTAAAAGTCTCGTATTTTTGCATCCCATTTTTACCGACACTTACTGAACAATATAAAAACATCATTAAAGATATGAATGTTAAACTCTTTTTTTAATTTTAATTTTTAATTGATGCGCTGAAGAAGGTTGAAAAAGACAACCGAAACGTACGACGAATCGAATTTACTTCTGTATAATATTTAATAATTTATGTTATAAATCTTTTCACAAATATAATTCTAGTATAGAACTTATTTAGCTCTTATTGCCTTTTTATTTGTAGATTATAATTATAAGAAACTTATATGAATAATTTTGATTATGATTTACCGAACTTTGATATTCGTATACATAAAAGTTGATTATACTTGTCGAAAGATTAACACAAATTTTAAGAATCATAAGTTTCTGGTATAAAAAAAAATGTTCTAAGCTACTGATAATTTTTATCATCATTGCGATGAAAACGAACGAAGAGATCGAGATGCAATAATTACCGCCATCTCGTCCTCGCGTTGAGGGCGAGGTCGAAAGAACGCTCGTAAAATCAATGAACTCCGTTCCATCGCGACGCCCTCCTCATCGCCTTAACACATCGGGACGCTTCTTCATCCCGTCAGAATGCTTTTTCTTCGCACAAGGAACACGTCGTATACGCGTCGCGGCCATATGCGTCTCTCCCCGGTATGTTTTCGCCGTTCCTCCATCGAGCTTTCTCTCTGTCCAGAGAGGGAGAGAGTCCCCAGAAGGTAGGGAAAAGAAGTAGAGGAGTACGAGTAGCTCGAAGGTAATCAAAGGGGTGGGCGCGCACGTTCGCGAGTGCTTGCGCCCCTTCGCCTGCCTCTCGAGGCATACACGCGCGTTGCCGAACAATCGTTTTGGTGGCTTTGAAGTTTCTCCCCCGCGTCGGCCTTTTCGAATGCGTTGCAAAAAGGAGCGACAACCGGCGACGCCGATAACAACAAGAGAGAGACAAGTCCTCGTGTACGCACCCATGTTCGACCCTCCTTATCCTTTGCTCCCGTCTCCTCTTCGAGAGATACTGTGATAATGTTGTCGAACCTATCTCTGATAAAACGGGATCCAGATGGTACGCTGAAGAGGCTAATTACAGTGCTTTTTTCTCTTGAAGATTCGCACGATGGTCATCGTGGCTGGATGATACCTGCTTTGATTCATCCTTTAGTGTATACGCAGTATTGCACGCTAAAAAGTGAGAGAGAGAGAGGAGAAGAACAAGTCGAGGGTAATGAAGCTTTGTGGCGACAATATGCATGCGCTCGTTCTTTCTTTCTTCGACATTTTTCATATTGCAGGTCTAATCAGCCGAAAAGAAGCTTTTCCAAGTTCGTCTCTGTCGATTTTTTGCGAATTCTCGAGGACATCCGCTGTTCTTTTCCCTTCTCTCATTCGTTTCCTATTCCAGATTCTTGATTCTTGTTTCTTTCTTTTTGTCTTCTCAGGTCGAAAGGAGAATTCGCTTCCAAAGCCACGTATGCAAAAGTTGACGAAAGTACCCACTTATTGTTTTCTAGTGGTAGTCGAGTGTACGTCTTTGACAACGCTGAGGTAATTAATTCGTATTATACTTTGTGACATCGGTCGGTCAAGAGCAAAAGAGGCTCCCTTTTTCCGTCTCTTCTTCCCCATATCCCTCATTCTCTCTCGGCACGCTGTTTTCTCTGTCTCATTCGAATCCTATTACAAATTTGATCTCACGCTCTTCATCCGTTCTCGACGATAGCTCCCACGTGCGTGCACATCGAACACGCGATCCACTCTTCTCCTCTCTTTCCTTTTTTCCCTTTCCATCAGCTACTCGTCGTTTGCACGCTAATTTTCGTACAGCTGGATGAAGGAGCAAAACGGGAAGCAACGGCCAAAAAGTCTTTGTGACGAATGACGGTCGAGTGCGCGGTATAAAGTACATTCGCTCGCGTACGCAGAGACAAAGGGTCGAAAAAAAATTCACGAAGAGACCTTAATGAGTGTGCTTGTTTTTTCATGAATTCGTAATACTCGAGCGCGCGTATCGCAGCTCTCGATGGAAGATGGTTGGGTCTCTCGGTCTCATCGAGGATCCAGCACGAGAGGAGGAACCCGACGATCTCAAAGACGATGCGCGCAGCAACTCTCGTTCGCACTCCGATGAGCGCGCAGAAATAATTTTGTTTTTTACCGATGCGGAATGTTCTCGTTAATGTCGAAACGGAGTAATGTCAGAGCCGATAGTTGGCGGGGAGAAAGAATCCTCAAAGACGTCACGCGGCCTAATTTTCCGACAGAGGGAGCATTCTTGCTTTGATGCGTCGGCACTCTAAAGTTTCTCTCTCTCTCTTCGTCTTTCCCGCTCGTTATGTTTGCCTGACAAATTTTTTGCAAAGAAAAGGCTACGACAGGAGAGATCGCGTTGATGAGACGCGACAGTAGTTTCCGCGATGTAAATCACGTTATAGCATCGAGCGGAGTGACAAGGAAAACGTTTTTGGCTTTGTACTCTTGTCGACGTTTACATGTAACATACGAATTCGTTTACTTACACCACTCACGCTTGATTAGAAGGGAAAAAATGGAAAAAAAAAACTGAGATAAAAAAATGGGTCGAAAGCGATGAGGACTTGAAACGAATCGAAGTCTTCTCGAAAGGGGAAAATATGTTCTCGATGTTTTTATGCGCTTGTCAAGCGTCAAAGAGACGCCACGATACTATGCTTTCTCATGACTTTTCGAAACGATCCCGGAGATACAAGTGTACAGGGATAAAAAAAGCCTGAGTGGAAACAACTGTAGATAACGTTATAATGATCCTCAGGAGGACATTATGCGATTGTTCGCTCGTCAAAGTCGTATCACGACTCGTTTGTGCCAAAATCCTTTGTGTCGAATTCACGAAATTGCATTTCATGGATCTCGGTATCCACAAACGAATTTACCTCTTTGGTAACCTTAGTCTCAGGCTAGTCCGGGCGTTCACGCTCCGTTGCGATATATAATAGAAATGTATAG